GATACCCTGCAGGTGGCGCTTAGCGCACGGTTGTCCGGGTCCCCGGATCGACCGCTCTACCCGGCGCCCTTGGACGGCCCACGACTTCCCGGGGACGGGCGCGGCGGCACTTTGTGCCGGGTGCCCCGACTCAGCAGAGACTCGCGGCCCGGCGCAGCTCGCCCGCGGCCCGGACTTTTGTTAGCGCCAGGCGCCTCCTCTCGCCGCCCAGCGTCAATCACAGCTGGAGCCCCCGGGAGGAAGGCCGGAGCGGAGATGCGCGGCCTTTTAAAGGGGCAGCGCTCCTTTTTGGGGTTCTGGCTCTGGGCCCCAGCCACCCGCGAACCACTCTGAGCAAAGGAACGTGCTCTTGGCTGCCTTCACTATTGTTCCTTTACGGGCTTGGCCCTCAAGGTGTAAGATGAGCTTCCAGGCGTCCTTTGAAATCCCTTGGCTTTTGCCTGCAAATATGGCTTATCTTAGGTGCAGGGGCATTTAAAACAAACATGCCTCAGAGTCTGATTGTACCTGGCAGTCTCAGGTATCTATGCTGGCATCCTCCTCTCACATTTGGGACTGAGGCGGAGAATGGAAGACAGAAGGAGGGAAAACTGGAGGGGAACTTAGCAGGGAGTCACTGGGGAGCCAAAGCCATTCCCGCCCCTGTGCGGGAGGTTTCCTGGCTCAGAACTTTTTAAGAGCTTCCAAGCCAGGAAGTGTATTTTCTCCCTGGTTCTATGATTTTTATTATTATTATTATCTTGTGGTTGGTGTTAGCCTTTGTTTAATACATTACTACCTTTTCTTGGAGATTTATATGGCACTTCTAGAGCCTTAAAACGGCCCATTGGTGTTCCCTCCTTGAAATGGAAAAAGAAAATTCTTCTTAATGTTTTATTTCCTTTCCATGTAAATACCTAGAATTTTACAACATTGCATCTGAGTAAAGACCAGGACATTCCCAGTGCAAATGTCTGTGTAGGGAGGCAAGCACATAGCAGTTTCTCCCTATAGGTGATGTTTTGAATTAAATTAAATAGATAGATAGATAGATAGATAGATAGATATAGAGATAGAGATAGAGATAGAGATAGAGATAGAGATAGAGATAGAGATAGATATAGATATAGATATAGATATAGATATAGATATAGATATAGATATACAGGGTGTCCCAAAAAATGTATACACACTCTTTGAATACTTACAAAGGTAGTGTTTATTAAAATACATTTCATTTTCAAAAAGCTATCAGCTGTTAAAGTGTGTATACATTTTTGGGGACACCTTGTATGTTGTATAAGCACATATGATAGCTGCATGGAGTACCAAGATTTTTGAGATTACCTGTTTCTTAAAAGACTTACAATCATATGCAGAGATTGTTAGCGATTTGATTTCCTACGGATTCTATTTGGGTAATTTCCTTTAATTTGGTACAGTTTTCTTTCTTAAACATCATGCATAAAAAATTTTAAATCTTGATTTCTTGTGCAGGAGAGATTATGTATTGAAAGAAAAAAATCATAAAATTATCTGTTTTACAGGACAGGATTAGTTTTGTTGTACTGGTAACATTTCAATTGTTCCAGTGCAATGAGATTAAGGGCTGAATCGTAAGTCATCTTTTCATATCTAGAATCACTGCCTGGCCTACAATATGTGCTTTCCGTGTCTGTTGAGTTCAATTAAAATCCTGTGACTTGGACCCTAAGTATATATGGATGTCAAAAATGTGGAAGAGTTAAATAAGTTTTTAGATTCCACCTGAAAGTATAAACCCAATCTAGAAATGAGCCAGAGTCTACATTATCTTCATCCAAAGTGGGTTTCCGCTCACCTGATCCTTGAGATTTTCCATCGCCATTTAAGGAAGTTGCATTGAGGCGCACCCACCATAAAGTAGTTGAACAATGGAGCTCATCTTGACATTTGGTGTGTAGCAGTTGACAGCTTGCTTGTTTGTATGCATCTCCCTGATGCTCGAGGTCTACAAATTAGGAAACTGACAGGGGAAGAAACAGACTCAACCAGTTTAAATACCTAGAGTCACTAGGCCGGTTAGTGCCCAATGGACTCAGAGTCTTAGGTTCTCTCTTCCCACCTCCACCACCTCTCTTGACCTGGCCGCTATTTATCTTGGAGTCACTGTTTCCTTTGTTGCTATTGTTGTTGCTGAGTCACCTTCCAGGGTCTCTAAAAACAAAGCAAAGCTAATAATGAAAAGTAAATTGTGGTGACTAATTACATTTATCCCCTTTGAAATTAAAGTCTATAAATATTTTGCCTATCATAAAAGGAGATAATAACAATCCCATTTAAGACATTCCAGTTTGAAACAAAATAGAAGAATAAACTAAACTTATAACATCCTTCTGATTATTAAGTATATGTTGTCATAGTTACTATAAACACTTGGGGGAAAAAGCATAGTTGAGCAAAAAGAAAGAAAAGCACTATTCCTGTTTAAAATAAAGGTATCCTGGGCAAGTGAGGGCCCATGCTCAGGCTGACCCAATTACACACCCACCTGCCCCTGGCAGAAGAGAGTGAGCAAGTGTCTCCCCCCATCGCTGTCAGACTGATACCAAACAAATGAAAAAGGCAATCAACAGATGCCAACATCAAGAACGCAAGGGTGTTAGAATTATCAGACAAATGTTTTATTTGTTTTTTAAATCCTCACCTTGCACCAAGAGGTCACTGGTTCCATTCTGGGTCAGGGCACATGCCTGGGTCAGTCCCCAGTAGGGGGTGTGCAGGAGACCAATTCCCAGTAGGAGGTATGCAGGAGGCAGCCCATCAATGTTTCTATCCCTCTCTTTCCCCACTCCCCTCCTCTCTCTCAAAATGAATAAAAGCATATTTAAAAATAAGTAAAAGGTATTAAAAGAGAAAATACTGTTTTTAATTAATATAGATTTATTATCAAAATATAAAGGTAGATTCTTGACCACACAAATATTTGTATAGAAAATGAGGGTGTAAATGATTATTCTGTCCCCTAAGAACATTTAGTATATTATTAATTATCTGTAACATTAGAGAAGAAAAAGAACATGGGCTAATTTTAATTTATTATGGCCACTGTACTGTTTTAAATTGTGTTTTGCATGTCTCAGTTAATCAGGCAGTGCTCTCGGCTCAACTTTATGGCTAAGGATACTGAGGCTCAGAAAAACTAAGTAAATCCTATAATGATGCACAGCAAAATTGCGACCAAGACTTATTTGCAAAATCTATGATGTTTTTCACTACTTTCTGCCACCAGTATCAGGCCATTGCATGCTAGCCTCATTTGGGACTAAGCCCAGCTTTCAGCAGAGGTAGTATATGTTTAATTTAATAAAGAGTGAAACATTTTTGGTATCTGTGAAATTTCATTGGGTTTCAAAACAAACCTTTATTATGCAACATGAATCTTCATCATATCCATAATGATGATGGCTAGATATTTTAGATATTTAATTTAGATATTTTAATAATTATAAGTAAATAGATAGCTTAATGGGATGGGTATTTTATATAGGACTCTTGAAACTCTCTTTCTCCAATTAAAAATATTACAATATTCACACTCTCTGACAAAATGTTATACTATACCTTGATTCTAAATTGAACATATCATTCCATATTACTTTGTCACTGCTCCTTTATTAGGCAACTATTCTATATCAGAGGGCCACCGAAGACTCTACAATAGGCCAAACTAGCATCATAAATTTTATATGCTTAGCTCAGCATATTGTAACATTCAGAGTCCTAACACAATTATCTGGATTCTTAGAACACAGCCAATTAGAAGCAAGGAATTATAAGGAATATTGCTCAACATATTGAGAAACTGTGAAAAGTTGCAGCTAATTATAGGGAGGGTGATGAGAAAAAAATCTCTATAGAGAAAATGGAAGAATTAAACAAAGAAAAACAGAAATAAAAAACAAATGAAAAATCTGGGGTGATATCATCATGTGTTATTGCTTTAGATAAAGTAATTATAGTGCTCATAACAAATAAATCTCCAAATTTTAGTAATCTGTATTAATACAATAGAAATTTAATTATGGATCATTAAACAGTCCAAGTACATGTTACTAATCCATCCGAGATTATTCTCCACACGGTGATTCAGGGACCCAGGTTTCTTCCATCATGCACATACAGCTGGCAGAAGACATAAAGGGTGAGTGAAAAAGTCATGCCACATCACATCTGCTCACATCCCACTAGTGAGAGCAAGTTCAATGGCTACATGTGGATGCAAAGGAATCTGAGACATGTAGTCCCTGGCTGGGCTACTGTGCCCAGCAAACAACCCACACTGAGGAGGAGAAGTGATATTGGTGAATATGCATGTAGCGAACAGTCTTTAGTAGCCTCTGAAGATAACACTTTATTGTACACAATTCATACATATAACTATTATATTTCACACACTGTTGGCTGGCTCCCACAACACACACTTCCGCTTCCTGTCTCCCTTGCCTTGCTTTTCCCTTCTCTCTAGGTCAAAGGTTAAATACTTATTTTCCTAGAATCCCCAGCAGTTAAGAATGTCCATATGGCAATATCCTGGCCAAGGTGTAAGCAAAATTCACTAGGAGCACCTGAAATAGGTTTTGTTATTAAAATAAAATTCAGAGATAGCTCCGCTACTATTTTTCCTCTCTTCTCCCTACCTCAACGCCACTGTTTTTTGGATGTGGTAGCCAGGAGAACTTAAGGGAAAGAAAGGACAAGAGAATTGTAATGATGGAGACCAGAGTCCTGAAGACATAAAGCCACTGGAATATCACCAGCAACCTCCTACTTCCAAAGTCCCTGTGATGGAAGGATAGGAACTATCTTTAGCGCACTGTTACTTGGCTTTTCTGTTAGTTAAAGCCAACTGCAAACCTAAGAGATGCACATTGTGTTT